ATTGCCTGTTACACCAATTTCATTATTTTACCCTGCACGAAGTAATCCCGGAACTTTACACTGGATCTTGGCGGGTTTTTTAATCCCATTAATAGATTAATATGGTCATCTATATAATCTTATCTGGTACAGCTCCCGATATAATGATTTGCTCGCAATTTTTGGGGATGGTCTTTGGTGTAGACAAGAGATTACCGATGTCATAACAAGGGCCCAATAGTTTCTTCATTCCATTGCTGCCACTTCGAAGATTGTCACATTGCCTTGATTAGACGAATTTTGTTTTGAGTTTCGAGTATAACCAAGGTTTCTTCCTCCCTCGTAGCTGGAGAAAGATTTTAGTAAGTCATCAAGTAGGCGTGAATTACTCTTTAATGAACCTTTGTTTACTTGATTTTTCATTATTCTTATCCCAATGAATTTAATAAAATTAAGACGAATTGACTTATTATTTTGCTATATCATTATCTTCTGTAGACACTTTCAGGCAACTCGATTTTCAAAGGTCTGTAATCTCGCGGCGCTACAAGCAACCCTACATAGACAAAATGCTCGATCAGGTGGACAAATGGGATGTGTGCCTCGTCGATCGTTTTGTTTCCAACCCTGCTCCTCGAGGCCTCGGAAACATCGAAGTGTCCCATTCAACGGAAAATAAACTTTCTAATTCCAGCCTGGTTGGACAAATAGAGTCTGCCGCAACGGGCTCCAGCCAACCTGCCCCACTCAATTCACAGAGGCGATCGGCTTCTGCATCATCTCCTCCACCGAATAAGAAGTTTCGGTCGATGCTGGATGCAAAATCTGTCGAAGAGCGTCTGGAAAATGGAGAACGTGAAGCATTTATCGCTGCTATTAGTCCGGATGAGAATCTACCGGCGGAAATGATTGGTATCTCACTGGCTCGGAAGGATAGAAAGGAAGAAATAAAGCAAATAGTCACTAAACGACGCCAGCTTCCTGATGACTACGAGCCGGAGGAAGGTGAAATTGAAGACGATGACGAGGACTATGATAATGATTATGAAGGTGATGAAGAATATATTGCAAGTGAAATTGATGAAGTCTGCAGTGACAGCGACGTGGCCGCAGGTGACCTGCGTTCTGGTATTAGGATGACCGAGTGTGAGGCTGACGACTCCATGGAGCTCGAGACAGACTCCGAGTCGGAGCCTGGAGGCTCGACAACCATTAATCCGAGCCTTCCTAGTGGTACACTAGCAGACCTACTGCGCATCGGGAGAGTACCTCGCTGTTAACTTTAATAATGCCTGGCTAACCCATTGCTGTGGCGAGATATCGTTAAGAAGCGTTTTCATACATACTTAACTCTACTCGATTCAGCAAGTTGATCTTACGTCGGACATAACTTGCTTATCCGGTCTTTCTTGAATCGTGATATTTTAACTGAAATCCCAAAAATGTTTATATCTAGTCGTACAATGTCCACAGTTTTTCGACTAGCCATGCCTTTCATTCTGGCACTTACCTCGCTTTTACGATTGTATGTATATAAATATTCACTTCCTCATTCTTCAATCTATCTCCCAAACTATACGTTATTCTTGCCAACGACATACTGCCTCGTATTTGTTTTGTAGACCTTTCTAATATTCAAGCAGCGCATTGAGCTTCTGGACGTGTCAGGCTTTGCCCCGAAGCAACTTTAATTGTCTTAATCTAAACCAGCCAAAGCGGAGGTCCTTTTTTGAAACACTCTCTCTTTGGGCCCCATATAAGACATGTAATTTGGCCTAGGGACATGCCTTGAGATATGATAATCACTTTATATTTGATATACATCCGTTTTCAAACGTTTTTTTTACATCTTCTATTTGGTGCTTCTGAAGCCTACTGCGAGTGATACCAACAAACAAGCCGACAGTCTTTACAACCCGAACACAAGGCTCATTGCACTCAATTATTTCTCCAAAGAATTATGCTCGGCATCTTTCTTAATGCACTCTCATACGAAATGAAAGTCCCCTTAAGAATATATCCTATCTGTCAAAGAATACTCCAATAATAGTCATTCAGTTTCTAAATTATGTGATCTAAATAAACGTATACATTCAACTAACTACGGGTCCACGTTTCCTAACATTACGTTTTTAAAACTACCTGTCGGTGTGTATGGGTGCGGCCAGTAATAGTTTTTCTGCAGCTCGAGTACTCTCATTATGCACTTTTCAAATTGGGTGTTTTAACTGATACCAAACCCTACCCAAATCTTTATGCTACTTCATTGGCCAAGCCCTAAGGTTTCCCGGTGGGTTGATGATAATAACAAGGCTGGTCGAAACCTGCCATCTGGCATGTCGCACCAAAACAATATAATACCTCTGTTGAGAGTCTTACCCCATATATATCGAGCTGGGTCTCGACGACTCCATTGCTGAACTAATGTTTAACTAGTCAGACTTTGGGGAGCTTGTCAACTGTCTTCTACAAAGCCGAAAGTTGCACTGACTTCCGCGGGTAAACGCTAGACGCAAACGCGACCCCAACTAATCTGGACTGACTTCCTCAATGCGGCTGGGGTCGTGAGAGCGTGGGACCAAGTATTATAAAGATTCAAACAATACTTCCCCTTTTTTAGGTCCGCAAGGCTCACCTTTTAGACGAAACCGATCCCACGATCATCGGCTTATTTTATCATAAAAGATTGAGTCTATATAATTATAGCTGATACATCAGAGTCGGTTCGCCTGAATTCAAGGCCCTTAAGTTCATGGGAGACTGAGCTTACAGCACTTTCGGGTGGGTCGAAGGATAAGAGTATCTGATGAGGGCACGCCACATACAATGAGGCTGATACTACAGATTTGTGGAGTTGCATCACAAAAGGGTGAAAATTGGAGCGAGATGACTTAGATTTCTGACACAGGATAGTTCAACGGACATTCAGTTTTATAGCATGGGGAAATGCAACTTTTTGGACGAAAGTTTGAAGTTAATATTCAATCGATACTAAAAAATTAAGCACTGCGAAGGCATAGGTAAGTGAATCTTGTTGAAGTAGCCGCTTTGACCAACATGAGCACCAACGCTAGTGATGAACAATTTCACCAGCAAATAGATCGCCTGCAGTTGGTGGCAAAGTTGCTTAATTTCCGAGCATGCCGCTCCGAAGAAACGAACAGAAAATCAGCTCTTGCAATGAAAAAAATGCAAGCAAATAAGAGCAGCCTAAAAGAACAGTCCCAAGAGATTGTCGAGGACTTAGAAGGTGTCATTTTCTCGATCGTTACATCATTGAAAGCTTTCCAAGCAGAAGCAAGAGCAACCCTATTCAGCCTGCAGACGCAGTTGCAAGGATCTGAGAAGAATTTAATGACGGCGAACGAAACGATCAAACAGTTGACGGAAAAAGTTGAGCAACTGGAACTAACTGTTTCTGAGAACAAGCGGCTATTTGAAGTTAACCTACAAGCGATCCATATTACCTACATAAATATAATGGAAAGCATATTTGAAAGGATACAAACAAAAATATTGAAAGACCTTGAGGAGCTATCTGATCACAACGACCAGCTCCACGGGACGTTCACTTCTGACTTCAAAGCATTGGGCGTTGAGTCAAAGTTGAACGCAATATAAGAGAAAAGCGAATCGCTAATATGCTACTTTCGCATGTATGTGCGTATAAAAGGCGGTAGAGGGGGACATGCAATATACGATCAACCCCATCCAAATAACAATAAGACTTGATATTTTCTACTAAATACCAGTATTGTAATAAAGTTACGTGAAGGTAATGAAGTATTACGCATGAAGGCCGAAACCTCGTATTGGTAGTCGGAAATGGCTGACACGAACGTTGTCTGGCCATAAGGAGCTCAGCGATATGTTAATAAACTCATGGGTGCCGTTCGCCCATGAGCAGGGGATAGGATTGAGCTCTTGCAATGAAAAAAATGCAAGCAAATAAGAGCAGCCTAAAAGAACAGTCCCAAGAGATTGTCGAGGACTTAGGTGTCATTTTCTCAATCGTTACATCATTGAAAGCTTTCCCAGCAGAAGCAAGAGCAACCTTATTCAGCCTGCAGACGCAGTTGCAAGGATCTGAGAAGAATTTAATGACGGCAAACGAAACGATCAAACAGTTAACGGAAAAACATGAGCAGCTGGAGCTAAATGCTTCTGAGAACAAGCGGCTATTTGAAGTTGACCTACAAGCGATCCACACTACCTATATAAATATAATAGAAAGCATATTTGAAAGGATACAAAGAAAAATACTAAAAGACCTTGAAGAGCTATCCGATCGCAATGACCAGCTGCACGGAATGTTCGCTTTTCACTTCAGAGCATTGGGCGTTGAGTCAAAGTTGAATGGAATACAAGCGAAAAGCGAATAGCTAATGTCCTACTTTCGCATGTATGTGCGTATAAAGAGAGTAGAGGGGGACATACAATATACCATCAGCCCCATCCAAATAACAATAAGACTTGATATTTTCTACTATTTATCAGTATTGTAATAAAGTTACGTGAAAGTAATGAAGTATTACGCATTAAGGCCGGAACCTCGTATTGGTAGTAGGAAATGGCTGACATGAACGTTGTCTGACCATAAGGAGCTCAGCGATATGTTAAAAGACTCATGGATGCCATTCTATAATGAGAGGGGATACGATTCGTTGAGCAAAGAGAAGAAGTCTACATTTGTGACAAAAGGAATAACCCTTTAGCTAGCTATTTTTAAGTTTATCGGGACCAACAAGAAGATATAAGGTTCATAGATCAAGTTTTAATATAAAATAAAAACAAATTAGACAAAAATACAACCTGCGAAGTTAAGGTTACATCTATGCGTAAAGAATATATGTACATATTTGCGCTTTGAGGCGGTGTTGACGCAATAGATAAGGAATATGAGATCTAGCCACAAAATAACAAATAAACCAATATATTCGCGAGCCTACGAGGGGGAGAATAGATCACATGATTTTGCTAGGGTCCACAAAAGAAAAGAAAAATGCCGATATCTGAATTGAAAGCCGTCAAGTAGTTTCT